TTTAATACATAATTTAATGTGGAACAGAGGGTAAAAAACGTGGCTAAGGCAGAGTCAGGGAGAAATCCAGGGATAAGGCAGTCGCTGATGAGCACCTCATGGAATCTAGAGGAAGGTTAACCCTTTAGGATCATAATTTGCTGTACAACACTTCTCTAAATGCAGCCCCATGAAAACCAGTCCATTTAGGCTAAACCAAACACACCTTTCTAAGAGCTCGTCTTGGGGAATTTCTGCATATAGAGCAGAGGTGTTTTGGAGAGATGAGGACACTAGTCTATTACTTGGACCAGTTCCCCAGTAGTATGCAGCAGGTACTGTATGGACCCTAGCCAGTCCAGTGCTGTAACCCAGTGTTTTTCTTTTTTTTTTTTACCTGGTCCTAGGGATCCAAAGGGATGCACATTTTAGTTTTTGCCTTAGCGCTACACCTGGTTCAAATCATCAAAGCTTGATGATGAGTTGATCATTTGAATTACCTCAAATGTGCACTGCCTTTGGGTCCCCAGGACCAGGATTAAGAAACACTGCTCTAACCCAGGGGTATTAAATCTCATTTTGAGCATTCGGTCTTCAACGAGGTCTGGAGGGCCGCACAGAAAATGTGTTATAATTTCACACTGTCAAAACTAGCAAAATAATCCAGTGTTTTTGGAATTTACGATGCTCCCTGACTGTCTAGCTTTCATTTCGGTGATTATTAGCGAGCTGGACACAGTCAAGAAACTGTACTGATCACACACACAGTCTGAGAATAGCCCCAGGCCTCACCCTGAGGTCATGCCACTGAACTGGGGAAGCAGATGGCCCAGGGCTATTTTAGGGCTTACAGGAGCAACTGTCCACTCTGTCGCCACTAGAATGCCTGGATCTTTCTTATTAGGCACCAAATGGAAGGAAACAGACTAAAACAGGGAGGGGACTACCTGAACGTGTCCAATAAGAAACTGTCATTTTAGTTTTCCGTTGCAAAACGCTTTGCTACGTTGTGCCCTAATGAATACGACCCTGGTTTAAGTAGGACTACCATGGACCAAGGCTATTGAATAGGCAAAATGGAGGCATCACGTCGCTTTCCCGTGCAGCTAGAGGGCTGGATATATTCAGTGTTGGCTGTGTGACCTAACACTCAAGTAATGCTGTCAACATTGAGTGTGGCTCATGTCTATGTCTCGCCACAATTCAAACAAAAGAAAACCACACATTTTATTATAGAGTATGAGTCAGGGATGTGATCATACCAAGTTGTTATCTTCCATTACTTTTACAGTAACAGTTTCTGAGAAAGAATGGGCCTATTTCCTCTGGGGACTGACTTTTGACATCCTTTTTGACAAATGACACAACATGCTCACTCGGGCATGTCACAATACAGTGATGCTGGCACACACAATAAGATTTCTTCACTCAAGATGGCCACACTGTACTCTCATTCAGTTGGAAATGGCAGTAGGAGAGAGCGAGGTTGACAATCAACTGTGTGTGTGTGTGTGTGTGTGTGTGTGTGAGAGAGATTTGGAAGAAGAAAAATATTGGGTGTTTTTATCAATGTCAATCAAACAAGATATAGCAATCACATGATTTGCACAGCAACATAACATCAGCAAGAAGGGGGGATAGATACGTGTGCGCGCAATATTGCCATATAAGCCCCTCTGTTCTCGTGCTGGATTATGAATCGTTGAGAACCTTGAGGAAATCCACATCTGCTCTCATCTGTTGGACGCGGTGGCTGCACTGGCTTCTATACCCTCCCCCTCTCTCATTTTCATCAAAATCTCACTACTAGTTTCACTGCTGTTTCCAGCTTAGGAGGAGGACTGGGTTGTATTCATTAAGCAGATTGAAGCTAAGGGCGGCAGGTAGCCTAGCGTTTAAGAGCGTTGGGCCAGTAACCAAAACGGAAGAATACAAACTGAAACAGAAAGAGACTATACCTGAACTTGTCCAATAAGAAACGCACATTTTAGTCATTTAGCGGAAGCTCTTATCCAGAGCAACTTTGGAGCAATTAGGGTTAAGTGCCTTCGATTTTTCACCTAGTCTGCTCAGGGATTTGAACCAGCAACCTTTTGGTTACTGGCCCAACGCTCTTAAACGCTAGGCTACCTGCCGCCCTTAGCTTCATTCTGCCCTAATGAATACGACCCTGGTCTAAACTGTTGAAATGCTTTTATCTGTCTGCTGCCACTTAGTTTTTAAACTTTTTTACACCTTGTCTTGTTTGGGCCATTCCGGCTTGCAACACAGCCGCCCCGTCTCTCACAAGTTTATCTATGGAGTGCATTCGGAAAGTATTCAGACCCCTTGAATTGTTCCACATTTTATTACGTTACAGCCTTATTCTAAAGTGGATTAAATTGTTTTTTTCCCCCCTCATCAATCTACACATAATACCCCATAATGACAATACAAAAATAGGTTTTTAGAAATGTTTGCAAATTTATTAGAAATAAAAAACGGAAATATTACATTTACATAAGTATTCAGAACCTTTACTCAGTACTTTGTTGAAGCACCTTTGGCAGTGATTACAGCCTCGAGTCTTCTTGGGTATGACACTACAAGCTTGGCACACCTGTATTTGGGGAGTTTCTCCCCTTCTTCTCTGCAGATCCTCTCAATCTCTGTCAGGTTGGATGGGGAGCGTTGCTGCACAGCTATTTTTAGATGTTAGATCGGGTTCAAGTCCAGGCTCTGGCTGGGCCACTCAAGGCCATTCAGAGACTTGTCCCGAAGCCTCTCCTGCATTGTATGGCTGTGTGCTTAAGGTTGTTGTCCTTCGCCCCAGACTGAGGTCCTGAGCGCTCTGGAGCAGGTTTTCATCAAGGATCTCTCTGTACATTGTTCGTTCATCTTTCCCTCGATCCTGACTTGTCTCCTAGTCCCTGCCACTGAAAGACATCCCCACAGCATGATGCTGCCACCACCATGCTTCACCGTAGGGATGGTGCCAGGTTTCCTCCAGACGTGACGCTTGGCATTCAGGCCAAACAGTTAAATCTTGGTTTCATCAAACGAGAGAATCATGTTTCTCATGGTCTGAGAGTTTTCAGGTGCCTTTTGACAAACTCAAAGCGGGCTGTCATGTGCCTTTTACTGAGGAGTGGCTTCCGTCTGGCCAATCTACCATAAAGGCCTGAATGGTGGAGTGCTACAGAGGAACTCTGGAGCTCTTTAAGAGTGACCATCGGGTTCTTGGTCATCTCCTTGACCAAGGCTCTTCTCCCCCGATTGCTCAGTTTGGCCTGGCGGCCAGCTCTAGGAAAAGTATTGGTGGTTCCAAACTTCTTCCATTTAAGAATGATTGAGGCCACTGTGTTCTTGGGGACCTTCAATGCAGCATAATTGTTTTGGTACCCTTCCCCAGATCTGTGCCTCAACACAATCCTGTCTCGGAGCTCTACGGGCAATTCCTTCGACGTCATGGCTTGGTTTTTGCTCTGACATGCACTGTAAACTGTGGGACCTTATATAGACAGGTGTGTGCCTTTCCAAATCATGTCCAATCAATTGAATTGACCACAGATGGACTCAAATCAAATTGTAGAAACATCTCAAGGATGATCAATGGAAACAGGATGCACCTGAGCTCAATTTCGAGTCTCATAGCAAAGGGTCTGAATACTTATGTAAATAAGGTATTTCTGTTTTTATTTGTTATACATTTTCAAAAATGTATTAAAACCTGTTTTCGCTTTGTCATTATGGGGTACTGTGTGTAGATTGATAAATTATTATTTTTAAATAAATGTTAGAATAAGGCTGTAACGTAGCAAAATGTGGAAAAAGTCAAGGGGTCTGAATACTTTCCGAATGCACTGTATATAGACGTACACGCGGTAAAACAAGATGTCTGCCCCTGACATTCACCCATACTGGATAGGCTAAGTGCAGATTTTGAGCACTGTGATGAAACTTGTTGCCCTGTTGGAGCCAACACGTTAGTTGCACGTTTTCTGTTGGGTAATTGATGTAGAAATATCTGCCATTTAAAGGCATGGATGACTTGCTGGACCATCTTTTCATTACGTGAACTCCTGAACCCTGTTTCTCGTTTGTCCATGGTAGTATTTTGCTGCCCATATGTTTGAAAACCAGCCAGTAGTTTAGTGTTGTAGAAAGGAAGGACTGGGGAATTGAAAGTCTGTCACTGTGTGGTTGTTACTCAAAGATAGATGCTAATTTGTCTTTGCATACAGTGAATCATAACTCAACTGTTAACTAGGAAACAGTCTGCTAGAGTGATTCCCCACGAAACCAGGACAAAACAATACCATTCTTTTGGGGATGTTCACAATATTTTATCTATAGAATGGTCTTTTGAAGGAAGGATTGGTGACATATATTTCACATTTGTATCTAAAAGCATAATTGAGAAATAATTAATTAGTTGGAATATTTATGACATTTGGGCCTTACCCAGGACTCTAAATCTCCAAAAATGCAGTATGTATTAGTGTGTATGAAAGAGATCGAGCCAGGAGAGAGAGGTACTTTTGACAGTACTACAGTCTGTACCAGGAAGTCCTTTCACTGGTTGGTGTGGAGGTGGAGGATGCCTGGGCATGTCCACAACACACTGACAGCCAGGCCTTGTGACGCTTTCCCATTGTCGCCAGAGCAGAATGCATGCTCTGTCAAATTCTTTGCATTGGAGTGTCCATTGTTTGTGTGTGAGCTGCGACGCATGAGAGCGAGAGAACTGAATGACTGTTTTCCATAGCCTAACCTGCATCTGTTTGCTGTTTATCACACACGTTTGCCCTGGTTTGGTTTCTCAATGATACTTATTTATTTTCTGTGGGTGTCTTTTACCAGGTTATGACGACAGTATAAAATATGCGTAACATATTATATGCCACATCTTGTCCTCTCAGAACATTCACATAAAAGTTATATGTTTCATGTTAGCATTTCCATGTTTTGTGTTGTTGGTATGGAGCGTGATGAGTGTTGTGTTTGCAGGTTATAACCTGTCATCTCTTGTTTTTCTACAGGACGCATGGGTCTGAACTTTCACCACCCCGGAGCAGATCACATTATGCCGTTGAACAGTGAGTAGTGTTTCAGAACATACAATAGGCTATTTCCCTTTAAATCCCTCTATGTTACAATGTTATTTTGGATGTATGTATTTGTGCTTTAATTGTGGCATTCGGTTTGACACGCAGAGTGGTGCCATTGTGTTGCTTCTCTGTTGTACGGAAACTAACAATACAAACCTATTCAGAAGTAGTGTCATCATGACACACCTATGCAGGATGCCTCAGGATATGCCCTAGGGTTGGGGCAGGGATCGTCACAGGGCCCATACACAGTAGGGCACAGATGCCCACTCATGCTAATCCCACCTCGCACCCCAAGTGTTACCCCCTGACACCATAAACCCAGCATGGACCTATCTCTCAGCGCAGAGCAGGGGGGAACCACAGTCAACGACCCCTGAATACCGGTTCTAAAAATAGCCGACCTGTAACACTAGATTACCCCCCCCCCACCCCTTTTCCGTGTCTGGGAGATAATTATTTTTCATAATTCATAAGTGTCACTTTTTCTCCCTCAGTCCAGTTTTTTTCTTTCTTTTCCCTCAGAGTTACAGACAGTGAGTTGGCAAAAGGCTCTTCCTTTCAGCGTTGTCAAAACTTCTGTGAGAGGAAAGCGGATTGGTGGAGCTCGGCTCAAGACATCTGGGAGTGTTAGTCGAGCCCTGGGTCATGATCATTAGGCACCAAATGAGAGAGGACTGACTAAAACAGGGAGGGACTACCTGGACTTGTCCAATAAGAAATGCTAATTTTGTTTTCCATTGCAAAAGGTTTTTAAACGTTTTCTGTTGCGTAACCTTATGAACACGACCTTGGTTTCTCCTCACTCGCCTGGTTGGGGATGCCAGCAGGGGAAGCAGTGAGAAAAGAGAGGAAATGAGGATGAATGGAAAAGGAGAAGATATCCAAGAAGGCTTATAGTAACTTGTTTTACTGCTGTCACAGCTTGACAACACTGCCGTCTGTTTTCTCTTTAACTAGTTATTTTCATCATCAGTCCTTTGGGAAACACATTTCAAATAGATGTTAAACTGCTGTTCTAGAGAGTTTAACTTAAGCACAGATCTCAGATCTGCACGGAGCTCTGGCATCTGTCAGAATTGACCCTCGCAGCTGTAGTCTCCAATGTCAGCACTGCTTTAGATGTGAGGAAAGCTGGTTAACGTTAGTCTACTCTTCATCTCTCCATTGTCTCAGCTGTTTGAAGCCTTGTAGCCTAGAATCTGTCTGAGACACATTCTCTCATTTGAGTCTTTCCACTGATTTTGTGGCTAAGATGGAGGATGAACCGTAAGGCAACATGGATTTATGGTTGAAGATGAACTGATATCTTAGTAGAAGTGTAAGGGCCTAGCAGATATTTTTCAGAACCGCTCCTCTCCGTACAACAATGCTTTGAATCTGTGCAGACATAACAGACATAACGCTCCTCATGCCCAGAAGATCTTCCCGTCATCCCTTCAAAAATCTCCTCTCTGACACTCACATTTCTGAGTCTCTGCGTACTCCTGTTCCTGCCCTCACTCTCATCCTCCTTGTCTTATCCTCCCTCACCAGAGTGACTGACAGTTTCCCAACAGCACTTACTAGTCTACACTAGATCAGCGGGTTCCACCCGTCCACCGTTTTCCCCTTGTTGCTAGGCGCCTTTGTCTCTCCTAAGGCCCTGACAGTGGGAGAATAAAATGGAGAACATTGGTCTGAACAACGGTGCTCTGTGGTGAGAAGAGCCAGAGAGTTTTAATGAAAAGCCAGTAAGCGAAGAGGCCTGGATACAATGTCTCTGTCAAGGGGGGGGGGGGGGGAGGGAGGGAGGGGGGGGGGGGGTCGCAAAAGGGCACCAGCACAATGGAAGCCCCATATTGGTTTTTAGGAGAAGACCGTTTTCTCTCTCTGTGACACTTGACTGTGAGAAGGTCTGTTTAGGGATGTATTACCAGAAGCCCCTCTGCACTGTCTACTGGCATTAATGTTATAGACTGTTTGTCTCTTGTTTGCCTTTTTCTCAGCCACAGCAAGGCTCCTATTCAGGCATATTGGGTGCATTCAAGGAAGGTTTTTGAAATTTCACGTGTGAAAACGCACACACACCAAACAATACATTTGTTGTGGTCTTTCATGTAAGTCCTTTGCTACTGTGTTTCCTAAGCGCTAGCTAACACTTCAAAGGTTTGTTCAGAAAGCCCACGAATACCGTAACTAATGTGATGGAGAGAAAAGTCACAAAGGCTTATCTCTGTCTGCTGTACCTTTTTTGGCCTGTTCACTAAATTGAAATCTGCCAGCCAACCCTATCACATAGTAGGGCAGTCCTCCTCTCACAGTTTTCCTGTCCGGACCCTGAGACTCAGGCTTCCATGGCTCCATCCACAGGGCAGCTGTGAGTGGACAATTCTCACTGGATAAAGACTCTGTTTCACTAGTTCATGATTTAATGACATCTGTCTATGCGTGTCGCTATATCAGCCACATTCATGAATATTGACGCTGGGCAGAAATTAGAGTAAACGTGAGCTAGGTAGTAGTCCGTGTTTATTGCCTGAGATGATAATCTGGATAATAGGGTTTAGTCATTGCTCTGTTATTGCAGGTGAATATTTTGGAGTAGTAAGGCATATTATATCTCATTCTCCTCTGCCCGGCTAGGGCAGGTGCAGCAGGTTTCCTGTGGGCTACTGCCAGCTAACCCATAATGAAGCCTTGTCTCCCTCCATCGCTGATGATTAGGTGTGGCCGTCTGTGTCTGTGGTTTCGCTGTTGCCTTGGTGATGTTCTGCCTGGTTGTCTTCCCACGAAACCCATGTCTCTGTCCCTCTCCTTTCCATACCCCTCTCTCTCCCTCTCTCTCCCTCCCTCCTTCTCCCACTGTTCACAAGCAGCCAGGAGCTATGGCCGCAGAAGAGGTAACTTGTGGAATTTTACTGTGTTTCTGCTTGCCAAAATGAATGGGATGCATGAGCACAAATGCTTGTGTCTCTCCGTACGGGTGTTTCTCTTTCCAGGACTGAGGGTTCTAGTGTGATGTCACATGATCTGCCTTCGTCTGTGCTGTGATTGGATGAAATCATGTTAATTTACGCACCTTTTTGTTTTGACGTCATTGCATTTAATCAAGTCGGGGAGAGGCGGATGATCAAATGACAGTATTCAGACCCCTTGACTTTTTGTTACGTTACAGCCTTATTCTAAAATGGATTAAGAAAATAAAAATGACAGAGCAAAAACAGGTTTTTATAAACCTTTGCACAAAAAATTAATAATAATAATGTATATAACATTTACATATGTATTCAGACCCTTTACTCAGTACTTTGATGAAGCACCTTTGGCAAAGATTACAGCCTCTCTGTCAGGTTGGATGGGGAACGTCACTGCACAGCTGATTTCAGGTCTCTCCAGAGATGTTTGATCGGATTCAAGTCCGGGCTCTTGCTGGGCCACTCAAGGACATTCAGAGACTTGTCCCGAAGCCACTCCTGCGTTGTCTTGGCTGTGTGCTTAGGGTTGTTGTCCTGTTGGAAAGTGAACCTTCGCCCCAGTCTGAGGTCCTGAGTGCTCTGGAGCAGGTTTTCATCAAAGATCTCTCTGTACTTTGCTCCGTTCATCTTTCCCTCGATCCTGACTAGTCTCCCAGTCCCTGCCACTGAAAACATCCCCGCAGCATGATGCTGCCACCACCATGCTTCACCGCAGGGATGGTGCCAGGTTTCCTCCAGACGTGACGCTTGGCATTCAGGCCAAAGAGTTCAATCTATGTTTCATCAGACCAGAAAATCTTGTTTCTCATGGTCTGAGTCCTTTAGGTGCCTTTTGCAAACTCCAACTGAGCTGTCATGTGCCTTTTACTGAGGAGTGACTTCCGTCTGGGCACTCTACCATAAAGGCCTGATTGGGGGAGTGCTGCAGAAATGGTTGTCCTTCTGGAAGGTTCTCCCATCTCCACAGAGGAACTCTGGAGCTCTGTCAGAGTGACCATCGGGTTCTTGGTCACCTCCCTGACCAAGGCCCTTCTCCCCCGATTGCTCAGTTTGGCCTGGCGGCCATCTCTAGGAAGAGTCTTGGTGGTTCCAAACTTCTTCCATTTAAGAATGATGGAGGCCACTATGTTCTTGGGGACCTTCAATGCTGCAGACATTTTTAGGTACCCTTCCCCTGATCTGTGCCTCGACACAATCCTGTCTCGGAGCTCTTCGGACAATTCCTTCGACCTCATGGCTTGGTTTTTGCTCTGACATGCACTGTCAACTGTGGGACCTTATATAGACAGGTGTGTGCCTTGCCAAATCATGTCCAATCAGTTGAATTTACCACAGGTGGACTCCAAGTTGTAGAAATATCTCAAGGATGATCAATGGAAACAGGATACACATGAGCTCAATTTCGAGTCTCATAGCAAAGGTTCTGAATACTTATGTAAATAAGTTATTTCTGTTTTTATTTTTTTTACATTTGTAGAAATTGGTCTGAATACTTTCCGAATGCACTGCACTTCCGAATTTTGTATCCAAAATAAATGTTTTTTACAAGGTATCATAAAAACATTGAGGAAGTACACTGACTCAGAAACTATTTATGTCCTGAATAGAAAGAATGGGAGTTGCGGACATGCTCTTCTCTGATTTGGAGTGTTCAACTAATTCATATTTCCTCACTGAGGAAAGCCCTGGTAACATTTGCAACTTTGTTGAAATGTTGTTGCAGTGCTTGCATTTGTTGCATCTAAGAATTATAGGACTTTTTAAGTCTGACTGTTGGCAGTACATTATTCCACATGTAGACAGCGCTTATGACTCAGCGATCAACAGATCGGACGGTTATTATCTTTAAGTCAGCCGTCCTGTATTTTTCTATAGCTGTGTGCCTGTTAGCATGGTAAGTAAAAATACATGTACAGTAGCCTACACCTAAAAGAGGCCTCTGACATTGTCTACCTCCAGATCTTAGATACATGCAGCTCCATTCCGTCAGTACACAGTCCTCTTTGCCCTCACCTGTAAGAGGTCATCTACTGCTGTGGCAAATGGTCAGCCGTCTTGCCCTCTATCCCTCCTGCACCCTCCACCCCTTGTTCCTATCGCCTGCAGGAACAAGGGTCTATCTGGTGGAAGAAGGCTATGAAGGACTTAGGGGTTTTTCTGGATCAAAATGGGGCTTAGGTGGTGGGCATGGCGGGGCGCCGGCCAAAAGTTTTAGAGGCCCTCCTGTTGGCCACATTGACAAAATGTTGCATCTTTAAAGATAATTTCCTGCAATTCTACAAATTTTGCCATGAGGCTGAGAATGTTTTTTTGCAGTTTTATAGCCAATTTCCTGCAATTATACACATTTTGCTATGGCTTATGCTATCTGAGTGACTCAAACATTATAACAAAATCAATGGGTGCCCCATGCCATGACAAAAATATTCCTGAATGCGTAATTTTGGGAATTGTAGTGTCTCTGACTCTGTTTTTGGTGATTGTTAGTTCTCAGAGGATTTTATAAAAAAATATATAGGTCAATTATATTTTTTACATACTCTTTATCTGGTTTAGTTGTTTAAGATTACACTGAAAACTTTTTTTTCGATCCCAAAGATTATTTTCAAAAACATAAATATATATATATATATTTTTTTACTGTTTGAACATAGGCAACCCGAAAAAACACAGGTGGCTCGTCCGAGGAGGGCAGGCAGGCCCACAATGTTTGAAGAAAGAGAGTTCATGAAGCAGCATGATTGTGATTTGACCTTCCTCTGTAAGGAGACTGCTATTGTTACCAGTTATAATAACACCATCTCTCCGTCTCTCTCTCTCTCTCTCTCTCTTTCATATCCTCCCTGTCTTCACCTCTTCTGTTTTGTACCCTTCTCTTCTCCCTGTTATCCTTGCTTGTCATCTCTCTTTCCCTCTCAATCCCCCCCCTCTCTCTTTCTCCCTCTCTCTCTCTCGCTCCCCTCTCTCTCTTTCCAGGTCGCTCTTCACTCTTTCCCTTTGAGGACAGTTTCCTGGACGACGGGCACAGTGACCCCTCTCTGACTGCGGGGTTGAACTCGCCCACCCGCTGTCAGAACGAAGAGCGGATGGAGCGCTACTCCAGGAAGGTGTTTGTTGGAGGCCTGCCCCCTGACATAGATGAAGGTACAGACGGATGGCAGTGGCACTAGCCTGTGTCCCAAATCTGTTTGTGTCGTCTTGCCATCTCCTATGGTCATTGTCAGTGTTTGCCGTGGCAATGACCATAGAAATTGGCAAGACAGCACAAACAGGTCTTGGACCAGGTTAGCACCTTATTGTACAATCACTATATTTCCTCATAGAATGTCCATCAGCTTCATAGCACATGATTAATAAGCTTAGAGGTTTTGTACTGGCTAGGATAGTAAGGGTGGGGGGGGGGGTTATAAGCCAGATGTGGGTCTACAGATGTATTTTGGTGGTCTGCTGGTTCAGTGGGCTAAATGGGCAGCATGTAGCCTAGCGGTTAAGAGCGCTGGACCAGTAATCGAAAAGTCACTAGTTCGAATCCCCAAACCGGCAAGGTGGAAAAATCTGCCGTTCTGCGCTTGAGCAAGGAAATTAACCCCTAAGAACAACTGCTCCCTGGACGCCGATGATGTGGATTGTCGATTAAGGCAGCACCTCTCTGATTCGGAGGGTTAAATACGGACGACACATTTCAGTTAAATTAATTCAGTTGTGCAACTGACTAGGTATCCCATTTCCCTTCCCTTCTGTAAGTCTGTATGCTGTCTATCAGTCACGGAGCTGGTTCTCTGGGCCTGTGGACTGACTGGTTATGCTCTGTGGGTTTGTGGCAATGAGCTGGCAGTCAGTCTGGTATCAGATGTGATAGTGTGTTATCTCACGGAGTGTGATGAGGCCCTGAGGGCATAGCAGGATCTGGAATGGTGACACTGCTCAATGTGGCTCAGACGTGCACATGAATTTGGAAGACAAGCATTTTGGTATTGTTGATGGCATACAGTGAGGGTAGACAACATTTTTGATGGCCTGCTTGACATGCAATTGCACATCATGTGGACAAATATACTCAACAAAAATATAAGCGCAACATGCAACAATTTCAAAGATTTTACAGCGTTACAGTTCATATGAGCAAATCAGTCCATTTAAATAAATTAAATAGGCCCTAATCTATGGATTTCACGTGACTGGGAATACAGATATGCGTCTTGGTCACAGAAACTTTAAAATAAATGGGCCTCACAATGGACCTTAGGATCTCGTCACGGTATTTCTGTGCATTTAAATTACATCGAAAAAATGCAATCGTGTTTGTTGTCTGTAGCTTATGCCTGCCCATACCATAACCCCACCATGGGGCACTCTGTTCACAATGTTGACATCAGCAAACCGCTCGTCCACACAACGCCATAGACGTGGTCTGCAGTTGCACTGTTGGTTAAGGGCTGTAAGTAAGCATTTCACTGTAATGTCTGCACCTGTTGTATTCGGCGCATGTGACCAATAAAATTTGATTTGATTTGATTTTATTTGAAGCCAGTTGGACGTACTGCCAAATTCTCTAAAACAACGTTGGAGGTGGCTTATGGTAGAGAAATGTCTATTCAATTCTCTGCCAACAACTCTGGTGGATGTTCCTGCAGTCAGCATGCCAATTGCACCCTCCCTCAACACTTGAGACATCTGTGGCATTGTGTTGTGTGACAAAACTGCACATTTTAATGGCCTTTTATTGTCCCCAAGCACAAGGTGCATCTGTGTAATGATCATGCTGTTTAATCAACTTCTTGATGTGCCACACCTGTCAGGTGGATGGATTATCTTGGCAAAGGATAAATGCTCACTAACATGGATGTAAACAAATTTGTGCACAAAATATGAGAGAAATAAGCTTTTTGTGTGTATGGAACATTTCTGGGATCTTTTATTTCAGCTCATGAAACATGGGACCAAGACTTTACATGTTGCGTTTATATTTTTGCAGATTGCTCCATGACCATGGTAACATATATTTTTTTCTGTAGATGAGATCACCAACAGCTTCCGTCGCTATGGACACCTGGTGGTGGATTGGCCCCACAAAGCCGAGAGCAAGTCCTACTTTCCACCTAAAGGTAAGAACAGTTTGTTTACACCAGTCTGTAAAATAGCCTTTTTAATTGAATAAATATAGGAATGTTTGTGGGACACCAACTCCTGTCATTGGTTAATGTCATTGGTTAATCCTATCAACAATTCCTTTACCAGTCCAATTTCAGACCTCAGTCCACAGTAACAGATGTTATTGTTCAGTCATTGTCTCAGAGAGATCATGCTGCGCTTCTAAGGCATAGGTTGTGTGTGAAGGGTTACATTACCCAGAATTCAAGGGTCACCTAGGTCTCGAGTTGAGGCGTCTATTTATTTATATGGCCCCCTACTGCTATTTCAGGGATAGAAAAACACCACAGGCTCCTGAAGGGCCCAGAGCACTCAGACGAGAGGAGAGTTGTTTTTCTGTCAATACCTGGAGAGTGCAAAGGCTTTCTCCTGGCCCCCGGCCCTCTTGGGTTTCATTTGGACAGGTGACCATAGCGGAGATGGCCCTTCCTTCCAGGCCCCTGTGCCTGTATCATGTCACTCCGCTGGCCCACCACACACACTTACACACACACACACACACACACTTCAATGCGTCATTAGGGAAACTATTAAAGCAGAGGGTTGGAAATAGCTGACATTCCTCAGGCATATGGTAACACGCTGCATTTGGGGAAGCTGTGAAAATTGCCAGTTTCTTCCCTTTCCTTATTTTTGGGGGGTGGTACACTTTATTTTCAATAGGCCTCGGCTCAGGGCTCTCTAGTATTCCAAAGCTCAGGAGGGGAAAATACAGCATCCTTTTAGGGGAATGAGTTCAGGCTTGAGAGTCGGAGAATTCCTTGTAAGGAAGGGAGGGAGGGAAGACTTGGTAAGCCACAAGGAAACCACCACCGCTTGTTGTAATTTCCCACGTTTGTTGGTGTTGTAATGTAGTGTTGGGCCACCTAGGTTTTTAATAGGGGCCCTTCTTCCTTTTAAAACATGGATGCCATGTGAGAGCGTCTGAAATCCCTTGTTTACACTGTCTTCGTGAACTCGGCACGTTAGCGATACTGAGTGAAAGAGCTTGGACAGTCGCCCTAATGGCCAAGTTCTTAGCTGAAGGTTTGTGTGAGTGCACATCCTTACGACTGTGTGTATGTGCCTTCGCATGTATTTCTTTGTGTGTGTATGTGTCTGCGCGTGTGTGTGTATCCTATCCTATCACAGGCTGTAAGGGGTGTTTCTAAGATGTAGGATTCCCATCAAGCGGTCATCAATCTCTCCCCATATTAAAAATGGTTCCAAGCTGACCTAATGGAAGTTGGTAGTCACTTCGTTCCATCCTGTGTCGCATTAAAATGAGCAGTTATGTGTCTCTGTACAATTACGTAATCATTTTTGGTTTAGGAGATTAGGATGAATCATGTTGTGGCTCCCAGGCCTCGCAGCGGCCAGGGCAGGGTCTGAACTGGGATCAGTTGCAAGCCTGGGGCCAGACAGGCAGTTATCCCTGATGGACAGGCCTGAGGTCAGTTCAAAGGCCACTGCACTGTTCCTAAACTTCCTAGTACCTTTGTCCCATTCTCTCATCCTGCCTGTCTGTTTGTCTGTCTGCCTGCTGGATGATGTCACCGACCAATGAGATCACCGTGACGGTGGTGCTGCTCACACCTGCTCAATGAGCCCTGGCCTGTAGTCCCAGGCATCACCGTTGGAGATGAGCTCCAAACGCTGCTGAAGCTATTTCTGTCCGCTCCGCATGGAGGTAGAGAGGAACGAGGGGGCTCGTTTGGGGTTTAGAGTGGCTGCTTTTAGGATAATGTGTCCGCGTCAGAGTCTGGATGCTGGGAGCTTATCCACGTTGTAGTTGGACGAGGCGGGCATAGGCTGGCATAGGCTGGCATAACAGGACAGGGCACCCCCTCTGGCTAGGAGGGCAGACAGACAGTCAGGCCACTCTGTAATGATGCCACTGAAGCTCCATTTGCAGTACCCTCACCTCTAGGGTGGGTTTAGCTCTCTACTCATGGGACAGAGAAGATGTGTGGGGGATGATCGAGGATGCATTGAGTCATTTCTCACAAATTGAGACGATTTAGTGAAGCTTCATTTCACCTTCTCTGGTCTCGGCTGCCTGTGCTCTCGTCACACTCCCATGCCTATTTGTTTTAGGAAAGCAGATATTTGTGTCGCTCTCTCCCTCTCCCTCCTCTCTCTCCTCTCTCAACATGTAAGATGCTGTCAGCGGGGCATTTATTTACTTTCAGTGACACGAGTTACAGCTCCCCTGTGGGTTTGTCTGCTCTCTCTCCACCCATCTTCTCCTCCATATCTCTCCTCCTCCCTCTTTCTCTCGATAGATTAGATAGGCCTACTTTCAGGGCAGCTTGGCTGTGTGTCTCATGTCTGCTCTCTCTCTTCTCTTCCTCTCTTCTTCACCCCTCTTCTCCTCCATGTCCTCCCCCCTTCCTTCCTCCTTTCTGTTATGAGGATATATAATGTCAGCAGGGCAGGTCGTTTGTATGTTTCAGTCATGATCAGTTGAGACAGCTTCCAGACTGGAAAGAGCTGATTTCTATGTTAGGATTGTGCTAATGAGCTGCAAGGGAGCTTTGCCAGAGTCTGCTCTCCATCCTTCACAGATAGTACTCACTGATTTATTGTCTACTAGTCCTGGGTCTGTATCCATAAAGGGTCTCGGAGTAGGTGCTGCTCTAGGATCAGTTTTGCCTTTCAGAGCATAATGAATAAGACAGTAGGGGACCTGATCCTAGATCAGAACTCTTACTCTAAGATGCTCTCTTAGGGCTGAAAATCTGGAAAGACACACTCGTTCCTGAATCAGGAAACATTAGCCTTGATGAGGATGTCACCTTATTAAATCAACAGACACAAACTTTAACCGTACTTTGAAACGAGTCTCAAAGCGAGTCTCATCGTTTAAACTTTGATTGTAGGAAACTGACTGTCAAAAAATGACTGACTGTATTTTATGAGGTAATGTTGATGGTGGCTATTGATTTGTGAAGTAAGTTTTAGGCTGTAGTTG